ATTATGGTAAGGGGCGTTTCATTTCCGACGTGTGCTTGTGGTGTTCGGCCAATCACAGTGCACTGGGTCAGCTGGCCAATCAGAGCGGACTGCGCTTGTCAAAGGAGGGGGCTTTGTAGAAAACGAAGCGTTTGAGAGAGGCGGGGCATAGAGGACCTACAATAATGTACAGTATTTGAAAAATAATGTGTTTTTTGAACATTAAAGCATGTCAACATATTCTGTTACACCAAATACACAAAATAATGATCTTTAAAAAAGCATCATATGACCCCTTTAAAAAGTGAAGCCTTCACGTTTCGATCGCCCCCAGGTGGCTGGTCCCAGTATAGGTAATAAACCCCGCCCTCGCCATGTAATCTAATGGGACATGAGACAAAATAATTTTTGTCATTTGATGTAGATTTTATCACGCTGAATCTGATGTAAGTTCAAGTGTTCGTTTTTTAAATAATTTTGGTTTTAGTTAGTTAAGTGATGCTATAAAAACGGAAGTGTGACGTCATGATTGACAGCTGAGACTGACAGCTTCTCTGAGTGAACTGAGGCGCCAACGGACTGAGACTGACAGCTTCCCTGAGTGAACTGAGGCGCCAACTGACTTTTTCGGGATCTTTAGGAGGATATTGGAGTTGTATTTACCTTATTTTAACACAATCCTCTCAGCAGACAAAAATTGGAGCAGTCAGGCTAAAACGGGGTCAGGGGCGTGTGCTTGCGATCGACTCTGCTGGAGTGTGGGCGGGACGCGGCTCCACTTCGCTCGCTACTGTGCAGACTCTGGTCCCGAGTTCTCTACTGCGCAGACTCCAGTTCAAAATCAGCGCAATATGGCCACGCCCTGTTGGGACAATGGCGGCTTCACTTTTCTTCAATGGAAGAGATTGAAGGTGCGTCGTCCATCTTTTTTTACAGTCTATTATTATACTAGATTCAGAATTAACTGAATCTAGTTAAAATGTGATTTGATCTTTCATGGCAACGTTAAACAATTATTGATAAAAAATTGTTCTGTGGTTTCAGGAGTAACCTTTCTACAACAGAAGAGAAGCTCCAAGATATCTACATTTCTGAAGGAAGCTGCTGAGAAAGCTCATTAACCCTCTGGCCCTCTTCGGTCATTTCTGACCGAAAAAAATTATATTTTGAAATTCAATTTGAAAATAAAAAATCTTAGCTTCATCGGAATGAGATGACACTTGGTGACTTTTGTCACATTAGCAATATGAACACAATATATACACGGATATGTTAAAGGGTAAAAAAAAAATAGTCACACATGACTTCTTCGCGGTCAAAAATGACCGACATAGGAAATGAATGGGATATACGAAAAAATCTGAAAACTCAGTGAATCTTTTGGTGGTACAAAGTACAAATCAGCCACTGATCAGAAAAAAAAGTGTGCAGCAATCAAGAGGTGACTCTCTAGAATATCAGGAGTGCAAAATAGGCACCCACACATGCACATATACACATATATACAGTTAACTGGTAAGACTGGAACAGAGCAAATTTGGAAAATTTGTGAAATAAAATCAAGAAATGAAAAAAAAAAATACAAAAGAGGCTCTCTCTCTCGCGCACACACACACATACACACGTCCCTCCACGGCTCGTGCCTCAATAGCTGGTCCCTGCACGGCTGGTTCTTCTGCAGCTGGT